TCTGCTCCCTCCCAGTTCCTGATGTCCAGCCTTCAAGCTTCTGATGGCTACTGCCCCCATCAAGAACAACTCCCACCCCTGCTTGGGTCACCCTGTGCCTGCCTCCCCTCCTGGCACCGCAACCCCCCACCCCCATCATGGCCTGGGTCAGTGTGCCTGGCTATCTGTGCCTGCCCCCACCCCCCCAGCCCTCCCAGCAAATCCACTGGGCTCTGGCAGCTCCAGCCCCTGCCCCAGGGCCCCCAGGCCTCCCAGCTTCCCTCCTCCCCCAAGCCAGAGCGCTTCCCGCTCAGCCCAGGCGCCATTTGTCAATGTCCTTCCAGACACGTGGCGTCCAGAAAGCAGGGCGGGCCGGCAGTTTGGACAGGACCACCCCAGCCCAGGTTCTGTGGGAATATCCACTGAGTGCAGCTCAGCAGGATCTGCCCCCACCTTCCTGCCCCTCCACCTCAGTGTTGCCCTCGGCTTCCCGAGGGGCCCGCTGGCACCACCCCTACTGTGGGCTCCCAGCCGCGGCGCCTGTGGTTGGGCCGGCGGCGTCAAGGCGCCCGTGCGTGTCTGCGGCCAGCGGCTCGGCCCTCCCCCGGCCCCACTCGAGCCCACCCTCGGCCCCCACCCCCAGCTGGCCACCCACACGGTCTGGCCAACACACGCAGGCGGTGCCCATGCAGGGCTGGCTGGGGTGCCTAGAGGTGGGGGTGCAGCTGGGCCTCCGGGCACCCATCGTTCCAGCCCAGGGTTCAGGGCAGGGTTCAGCAAACAAGACAGGGCCCTGACAACAGTCACACCGCATCCACGGGGCCTGGGGGGGTGGGGTTGGCGTGCCCCTGACCTCTGTGCCTTCTTATCGTGCAGGATGCTCTCTGCGGTGCCCCCTGAGGCATGCAGCCCCTGCCCCCGGGGCCCCTCTGGTGCGCCTCCGCCCCTGCTGCCCAAGCCGGGCAAGGAGAACCCCCTGCTACAGAAGCTGCTGAAAAAAGCGGCCAGGAAGGCGACCAACGGAGGGGTGCTGGCCCCGCCTGGAGTCTTCCGGGCGTCCCTGTCCCCCGTGAGTGAAGCAAGCCATGACCCAGAGGTGGCTGCCCCACGCCTGCACACCCCGCACCCCAACACCCCGGGCCCTTTCACCCGGTACCTGCCCAAGGGCTCCCAGTGGATGGCCGCCCCGCCCCGCCCTCCGCACACGCCTGTCGTCCACCACGTGGCGTCACCTCTGCAGAAGGCCGGCGTGACCCTCAGCCGCCCCTGGAGCCACAGCCTGGCTGCCCACTGCAGAGCCACTGGGCCAGATGGGCTTGGCAGTGGGGACACTCACGGCAGCCAGGTTCCGATCCGACTGGCCCCGCGCACACCCTCTGGGACCCCCGAGCCCCCCAGGACCAACAGAGAGGCAACCCCACGTGCCCAGACCCTGATCCCTGTGGCTCACATCCGTCCACTTCCCACCTCGCCCCAGGTCTCCAGCCCCCCGGTCGAGGAGGCCCCTGTGCCCAGGCCTGTGCCTGGCTTCCAGGCCCCTACACCCAGAGAGATGAGCACGCGGGTTGTGGTGACCATAGCGCCCAACTGTCACTCCCCAGGGCCCCCAGTTCCAGGCCTGGCCCTCCAAGTCCCAGTGACCCAGCCCCTGGAGGGACCAGGTCAAGCAGCCGGCCTAGGGGACCAGGTCAAGCCGGCCTTCAGTCCCCACAGGGCCCCTTCCCCAGCCCCACTGCCGGGTCCCCATCCCTGCGAAGCACCCCGGGTGGCCCCCCGGCTCAGCGGCTGGATGCGTCTCAAGCAACAGCTGGTGGTGCCCGCCAATGAGCCTCCTGCCCCTGGCCCTGGGGCCACACAACAGCAGGAATGGGCTACCCCTGAGGGCCCGGTGCACCGGCCACCTGCCTCCCGAGTCACCGGCATGTGGGACGCGGTACTATACCGCCTGTCCGTGGCCGAATCCCAGCACCGCAAGGCTGGACCCAGTGAGGGGCCACGCTCCCTGGCCAGCCTGTCTCGACTGCCCTTCTTATGTCGGCCCCGCTTCAACGCCCGTAAGCTGCAGGAGGCGGCCTCTCAGCCCCCAGCCTTTGCCCTCCCTGTGCTGGAGCTGAGCCCCCGGCCCAAGAACTTCAACCGGACTGCGGCTGGCTGGCACCTCTAGTGAGGGGGCCTGGGGACTTCTGGGGGGCAGGGTTGAGGGCAATGCAAAGGTATCAGGGCTCTAGGGTGAGCAGGTCCAAAGGGGCACCGAGGAGGAAGCTATGGGTGGTAAGAAGTCAGGGGTCTGAGAGGGCTGGGGAGGGACAGGTCAGGTGGGGCAAGGCTATGTGGGACTTAGGGCAGTGGGGTGAAGGTAAACAAGTCAGGAAGGAGCAGATCCAAGAGGCTGGGGGGCCTCTGCGGAGGAGCCCCGGAATGGGGCACATGGAGAAGCTCAGAGACAAGAGACCCCCACATTCTGCTCAGAGGCAGAATGTCCGACTCTTGGCCTTGCTGGAGGTGGCTGGGCAGAGTGGGGGGGGGGTGCATACAGAGCAGCTCAGTTCTACCCCCTGGTCCCCCTGCTAAGGTTTGAGGGAGGGTGAGGGCCGGGCCATGGGCCTCAGAACTGCCGGCTTGTGGTGATTAACTCCCGGGCCCAGACTCTGCAGTACCCCCCGGCCCCCCGCCCCTGGCCCGGCCATGAACAATTCGGGGACAGATTTATGTTCGCAGTGGGGGGCCGGAGCTCAGCACGGTCGGCCGCTCGGCAGTTTGGCGGGCCCAACAGATGGCGGGGCGCCAGGCAAGGGCTGGGGGCAACAGGAAAGAGGCCCTGAGGGGAGACCGGGGGCCGGGCCGCCGGAGTCGGAGGGCATGGAGAACTTAGCGTCCAGGCAGAAATGGGCGGCCTCCACCTGGGGCCCAGCAGGCCTGAGAAGGGGCTGTGGCCAGGTGCAAGGGCAGGCCATGGGACTCAGCGACTTTCAGCTTTGTGAAACCCTCCTGGAATCAGACAAGCTCCAACGTGGGGATGGTGAGGGGTGGGCAGTGGGATGCAGGGGGGCAGTGGGTCTTGGGGAGAAGATATGGTCGGTGGGGGACATTGGTCCCACGGTACCCCAAGAGCTTGGGACCCAGGCCACAAATAAACACGCGTTCACTCAAAGACATGGAGTTGCTTCCTGTCTTATCCTCCGTGGCAGGAGGATGCCGGATGGAACCCCCAACCCCCTTTCTGGTCCTGGCCACTCCCCACCTTCAGCCCACCGAGGAGGGGCACGGGCCCAGGGGCCTCCCCGTTGTTCTCTGCCCCTGGAAGGAGCCCAGACCAACTGTTCAGTTTGGGGCCGCGCTGGCTGAGTTGTGGGTGCCGGCAAAGCCACTGAGCCCAAGCTTGTGGCAAGGCCCCAGGAGGGGGGTTGGGGTCTCTGACTGTCCCTGCCTCCCCTGGAATTGGGGAATCAGGTGACCACACACCTCCCAGGTGGCTGTGCCCCTGGCCTCGGCCTCAGACTCACCGGGACCGCCGAGCTAGGGGGCTGCTCCCTCGCCCACGAGCACCTTCTCGTACTTCCCGTGCCCCGTGGCCACAAACTTGTACCGCTTCCCAGACGGGGTGCTCTGTTGGCAAAGGGGAGCACGAGGATGGGGGCGCCTGGCAGGGAGGTGGAAGCCCCCCGGCAGGAAGCCCTCCTGGGTGCCTAGCCCCCGCCTGCTCCCACCACTGAGCACTGAGCACACTTTACCTTCACTGAGGACGCGGTCTTAGAGCCACCTCTCTGCTCCCAGAGGCTCCGCCTGCTCATATCCCCGGCAACGATGTCCTGGGAACAGGAGACAGTCACGGTGCGGCCCAGGACCAGGGGGCTCAAAGCCTGTGCCCTCCCCTGGGGTCTGCCCACCTTCCCTCTTTGCTCAAGAACACAGTGGACAAGCAGCGAGGTCAACAAAGTCCCTTCCATCCCATCAGTCTATCTGCTTCTCGAAGTCCCAGTGCCCTCCCTGTCCATCATACCTCCTCCTAGGGACCTCAGAGCCCCCCAGCTCTGCCTTCCTCCTGCAGTCACGTCCAGGGGAGGGGTCTTACCTTGCAGGAGGCGCCCTTGGCTGTGGACTGGGCCTGGACCTCTCCCGTCTCCCACAGGTTCTTGGTACTGGCCACGGTCATGCTGGGCAGCTCTAGAGAGGGCTGCCGGGCTAGCTTGGGGGTCCGCCCGGCAGTCTGGGTAGAAGAAAGAGCCCTGGAGTGCTTTGGTGAAGGACCACTAAGGAGCAGGTCAGGAGGCCCCCCAGAACACAAACAGGTCACTTCTGCCTTCCTCTTTGCACCAGAAATGCTTTTCTGAATCCCGAGGCCTGGGGTTGTTCCCACAGGCAATCGCAGGGGACATGCATGGGGCCAGTCTGCTCCTGGGACATATAATACCCTGCCAGGGATGGGGAAGATATGGGGCATGGGGAAAACGGGGGTGGGGGCAAGTGTGGGTCAGAGGAAGACTGGGTTGCTGAAGGGGAATGAGGTGCGGTGGAGCATCAACTGTGGAGGACTGGGGGTTGGGGGGGCTAGTCTAGGGAGGGCTTGGCGTTGTGGGGATGATGGATGATGTAGCACTTGGGATTGGGGGGTAGACTGTGGAGGACTTGGGGTTGGGACTGTGGAGGACTTGGGGTTGCAGAGGGTAGACTGTGGAGGACTTGGGTTGGGGGGAGCATGGACTGTGGAGGACTTGGGGGTCGGGGAGGATTGACTGTAGAGGATTGGGGTTGGGGGGTATAGACGATGGAGGATTGGGGTTGGGGGTATAGA